CTTGGTATGACCGGTTAGTTTCCTCGCGGAAACGTTCAACTAGATCGATAGTTTCTATGTAAACGTTTGCTTACACTATCCACTTACATAAAATTGCTGTAAAAGCGTTGATGCTTCCAGATAATGTTAACAACGGGTTACGCGAGAGAGTTTCATTGGTCGAAGGTATAAAAATTACTTATCTACTTTTAGTTGGGAAATCATTTCTAAATAATGTAAACTTGAATGTGCGATATGAAGAAAGAAATTAACTACTTTTTTTTTTTAGAATCATTAATATTTTTCCTTAACAAGATGATCTCTATGATATAATCATAAAGTTTCCCATAATGATAGTATAATAATGTTCGATAATAGTACTGTAAACTATTACCGTATAATATCAAAGGTGACAAAAAAATATATATAATTACTCTGTACTAAAAACCATTGATATCCTTTTTTAATTGCATGATCTTCGAGGAGTAATTGCTCAGTAATGATGAAATTGGAAAATTATATGGAAAGATTCGAATATAATAATTAGAAATTGGAATATTATTAGAAAATTGGAATTAAAATCGCTTAATAATGACAAAATAACATTATTAATACATAATAGGAAAATGTGACAAGAAGAAAGAACTAAACTATTAGTAACATTCGTCATCGCGAAGCAATCGATTAGAGCTGATGTAAGAACGATAAGAAATAACGATGAAATAAAAATATCAGATTAAAACATGAACAAATACTCACTCGCTTCCACGAGACTGTTGGAGACTACTTTTCGTGACAACTTTAACACCAGGATTATTGCTTTTCCCTGGGCTATTTCCTCTGGAAGTGGCCTGATTCGCCGGACTATTGCCGCGTGACGCGCGACTCCTCCTCTTATTATCCTTCTTCGCATTGTCTTTTTGGAGATTCTCGCCTCGGGAAGGCGATGGATTTTTCACAAGCACCATTCGTCAACCTTTAAATTATATAAATAATAGCTTAGATTAAATATAATAGAAATACAAAATCATTAACTCGTTGATTGTCATATGAAATTTATACGTTTTTATCAAATATTATGTGCAATAAAGGCACATCGTGATTCCGAAATATCTGTAGGAATAAGAATGTCAATCCATCTTAGTAATCAACACGTTGACACTTTGAAATTAAAATTACGAAAAATCTATATGTAATGAGAAATGGCTAAAACAATGTATTTATTGTCAATCATGTACCTTTTAGTACTTATTAATATTGTATTTATATTAATTTGTGTAATACGTTATCCTTTTTGAATCATTTGTACAGACAATATTCTAGTACAGACTAAACACTGGAAAGGATTAACAGAATTAATAAAATTGATAATAATAATAGACTTAATTAATAGAGTTAATAATATGAATTGAGAAAGAGAAATTAATCCCGACGTAAATTTAGACCAAGCAGTAGGTAATTTCATTTAAATTAATCCTCAGTCGTGCGATCGGTGTCGTTCTCACGAGATATCACGAGTGATCAGGAACAATCGGACCCATTCGAAGATGGATGAAGAAGTGAAATGCTGCATTTTTCGGAATTCACAATAGGGAAAGCCATTTCGAACGAATTCAACTATTGCTCCGACGAGAGCAACGAAAATTTATAC